AACTATGTCAGTCTCCCTTTTCCTAATACCTTCATCTTCCAAACAGCCCAAAGCCTGATTAATCTCTTTAAAGGAATACATGTAAAGTTTTTAACACAGACCCTGGCATTTATTGACTACTGGTCAATAAATATTAATTTCCTTCCTTTACACATTAAAACTAAGGAGAGTGTATGTGTGTGGGGGGTGCGGAGATTGAACAGGTAGAACACAGAGGATTTTGGGGGCAGTGGAAATACTCTGCATGGTAACCACAATGATAAGAGTCATGCCATTGCACATTTGTCTAAGCTCGTAGAATATACACCCCCTAAGGTAAACTATGGACTTCAGGTGACTGTGATGTGTCAATGTGAGTTCCAGACTACCTTGGTGGGAGATATTGATAAGGGAGGGGCTATGCATATGCGGGAGCAGTGAGTGTATAGAAAAATCTCTGCATCTTCCCATCTATTTTGCTGTGAACCTAAAACTGCTCTAAAGAAAAAGTCTCTTTAAAAAATCTAAAGAACAATAATTTATTACATGTGAAAATTATATGAAATCTAAACTTTAGTGTCCATAAATAAAGTTCTATCAGAGCACATAGACAGTATAAACTAAGGAGTACATAAACACTGATAGATTATCAGATTAATATGTCAACATTTTTGCGGTCCTTACCATGTGCCCAATTCTCAGCACTTTGTTAAGGTTAAAGGAGAATGCACATGACATGTATGAACTGGCTCTTCAAGAAGTGTGTAATCTAAGACATGTAATATGGTTATGATACATTTATGCATTTATACCATAAGTACTAAAATTTTGAGGTCCATGATGTAAATACAAACTATGGATCCTAAGCATGGAAGAGCAAGCTAGACAGAATTTAGCACATGCTCTTTCTTTCCTTTGCCTGGAATACCTTTTTCTTTTAAACCTTTGAACTTCTTTTCATCCTTTAAAACCTAGATCAAATATTACCTCCTGAGTTAAACCCTTCCTGATTCATACAGTTCATGCCTTTCTTCTGCATACCTTCATAATAGTTGACACATAGCTACTGAAGTACAATTAATTGTCATGGATCAGTCTATGCTGACCAATACATTGTGAGCTCCTTCGAAGCCGCAGATTTTAGATCTCTGATTCTTTCTGAGTTAAGTATGTATCATGCAAAGTATAAGTCAAGGTTTATTTTGGGGCAATTTGTTGAAACTCTTTCATTCCTTAAATTGCATTTGCACCTTTGTTGAAAATCTGATTAACCATATATGTTAAGTCTATGTTCTCGACCCTTAGTTCTGTTCCTTTGGTCTATGTGTATATCCTTTCTCAAATAACACACTGTCTTAATTACAGTGGCTTTGTAGTAAGTTTTGAAATCAGGTAGTATGAGGCTTTCAGCCACCTTCTTTTTTCCTGCCAAAATTGTTTTGACTGTTCTAGTTTGCTTGCTTTTTCATACAAATTAGAATCACTTTGTCAATTTCTACAAAAAAAATACTGCTGAGATTTTAATTGGCAATATATTGAATCTATAGATCAATCTGGAGAGAACCAACATCTTAACATTATTGAGTCTTTTAATCCATGAACAGTTTATCTCCTAATTTCTTTAGGTCTTTCATTTCTCTCACGAATATTTTAGGATTTTCAGCATAGGTCATGCACATATTTTAAATTTTTTCCTAAGTATTTCATGGGTTTTGTGCTATATTGCACATGGTACTGTTTTTAATTTCAATTTCCAACTGTTTAATGCTATTAAATAGAAATACAATTTTTAAATTTCGATCATGCACTCGAAAAGAATGTGGATTTTGCCGCTGTTGTATGGATTGTTCAGTAAACATCAATTAGATCAAGTGGTGGATAGTGTTGTTCAGGTTTTCTATTTCTCTCCTGATTTTCTGTCTACTTGTTCAATTGATTACTGAAGAGGAATGTTGAAATCTCCAATTTTTATTGTGGATATGTCTACCGCTCCTTTCATTTATATCAGTTTGCTTATGGTATTTGAAGCTGGTGTTAGGTGCACATGTATTTGAATTTTATGAGTTTTTTTGTGAGTCGACCCTGTTATTATGTAATAACCATCATTATCCTTGATGCTTTGTTATGAAGTCTCCTTTGCTTAATATTAATACAGCCACTTTAGTTTTTTTAAATTAGTATTTGCATGACATTTTCCCCCATTTTTTATTCTTAACATAACAATACATACTTGGGTCTTGCTTTTTTATCTTGTCAATCTCTGTCTTTTAATTATTGTATCAGGAGTATTTACATTTAATGTAATTAGTCACATGGTCAGACTTAAATCTACTATCTTTCTAGTTATTTTCCATATCTTCCTCCTTTCTGTGCTTTTCTCAGGCGAGCCAGGGCTCTCATGTTATCTCTCCCTGATGGGGTCTGTCATTCTTTGGAGTTTTAGCTGCTTGTTATCCCCGTGAATTTAGCGTTCTGACAGATTCAAAGAAAGTCATAATTATGTCCTTCGTATAGCACTGTCTTATTTTTAGAGTATGAACACTGATATTTTCAGCTTTCTACATCCTAGATGGAAGTGGAACTCATTTTCATTTTTTTAAAGGATATTTTTGCTGGATATAGAATTCTAGGTTGATGGTTTTCTTCTTTTATTATTTTAAAGCTGCTGTTCCACTGTCTTTTAGCCTCTGTTGTTTCGGATGAGATGTTAGAAATTCCTCAAATATTGTTCCCCATATGAAATGTCTCATTTTTCTCTGGCTACTAGCAAGATTGTCTCTTTATCTTTGATTTTTGGCAGTTTGACTAATGTTTCTAGATATGCAGCTTATATTTTATATATTTTGCTTGGAGCTTGCTGAACTTCTTGAACTAGAAAATTTGAGTCTTCAACCAAATTTGGAGAATTTTCAGTCATATTTTTTCTAATTTTGGGGGGGCCCATTTTCTCATTCCATTCCTCAGATAGTAGACATTTTGATATTGGTCTACTGGACCCTGGGGCTCTGATTATTTATTACGATTTTTTCCTCTGTTCTTCAGACTACATTGTTTATAATGGTGTATCTTCAAGTTCTCTGATTCCCTTTTTTTCATATTCATGCTGTTGTTAAGCCATGCAGTAAATTTTTATTTTATGTATTTTATATTTCTATAACATCTATTGAGTTCTTTTTATAGTTTATATGTCTTGTCTGAGATTTCCTATGTTGTTATTCATTATATTTTTCTTTTAGTATTTAAGTATAACTATTTTAAAATCCTTATCTTTCAATTCCAACATCAAGGTCATTTCAGGGTTAATCTCCATTGATTTTTTTTTTTCTCTTGCAAATAGTTTATGTTTTCCTGTATCTTTTCATGTGACAAGAAACTTTGGCTTTCATCCCAGAAATTATGAATGATATGTTGTAGAGACTCTAGATTCTATTATATTCTTTCAAAGAACATTCACTTTTTTAAAAAAGAAAAAGCAGGAGTTAATTGCCTGAGCCCAAGGTACTGGGCTTGTGATAAGTGGCAGCTCAAATCCAAGTTCAGCTATTTTAGTATTAGCTAGGCTGCTTGGAGTCTGTTCTTCAATTGCATAGTTCAAGGGTCATCAAGAGATTAGGACATAGTTTATATGTAGAATTTTAACCCTTGTTTTGTATATGAGTGAACTATCAAAAAAAAAAAAAAAAAAAACTAGAATGAGTTGTCTCATGGACCAGGAATGGAACCTAAATTTTTCACATGGCATTCAACAATCTACAACTAAAATATCCCTAACTACTTAAAACTTGGGACTAAGTCACATAATTTGATGCTCCCTGGGAATGTTTACCTGGTGTCAAAGTATTTTTTCACCTAATTTTATCCCAGTCAAAAATGAAAATAATCCTGGGAGGAAAACACAAGAAGCTCTATTAGCTAACTACACTTCATTGTGACTAAATAAGCAACTGGCTTCAGGACCCGGGACTTTAGCAAGGAGAAGGAGAAGTAGGAGGCTACAGGGCACCCAGGAACAAGAGACAGGGCCAGGTTGGGAGGAGGAAGGGAGAATGGTTGAGGCACAGAAAACCAGCCTCACCTACTTCATGCTTTTCTAGGTTTTGTCTTGCTAGACCAAATTCTCATTTGAAAATCATAAATTGAAAATGAGATAATTAGGTGAACACACTGTGTTCCAAAGCAGAAGCTGAATTAAAGTACATTTGGTTTTTCTTCACCAAAGAACACATCAGACTTTCTGTGAGAGTAGATGTTAAGAGCTGTACATCTGGCTCTGCCAAATATTAACTCAGGTTAATTACAGGTGATGATCTCAGATTTTAAAATGATAGATTAAATTGTTCCTCTAGGTTGATGTTTCTCCAAGACGATATGTCACATGTCATATGCCATCCTAACTACTTGAGTGTGTAATGCCATCAGTGACCCTGCAGCAAAAAAAGCAGCAGGGTCACCAATGGCATTACACAGTGGGGAAGGGCTTAGGTTGGGTCCTAATAATGCTACATCCAAATGTCATATTGAATTAAGTTAATCTGTGGGTATTTTCTTAACTGTAAACTGAAAAATCTCATTTGCAAGAAGTTGTTTTGACTTTTAAGCAGAAGATACTATAAAAGGTAGACTATTATAAACTCTCCTGAAGCAAAATATTTGCTTTATGTAAATAGCCTTCTCAAGTAATAAATAATTAAAGAACCTCAAAATAAAATAATGTATGAAGCTCTGAATTTCTAACCAAAAAAATTTCCAAAGATTTGTCTTTGAAAATGATCTCTTTTTAAGGAGAAATACTGAAAACACACGAAGTGCCCTAAGTTCCAAAGTCATAAGTGACAATTAAGGGCAAGAATTAAAATGAAGAGCACTTGGTTCTAAGAGTTACAAAGACTTAGGTACAAATTTTTTTCTTCCAGGCGGGTTACTTAACCTTGGACCTTGTATGTTTTCATTACCCACTCTGTTTTCACGGTGGTTGTGAAGGTCAAGTGCAGAGGCAGTAATGGATGTGAAATGGCACCCATACCAATGAGACGCTCGTGTATAGAAGGTACGGAGAAGTCTGGCACAAGGACCCAGCCTTCAGGCTGTGCCTGACACCCTTGTGCCTTGCTCTGCTATTTATGACAGGTTATTTTGGAAGGTGGGAATTACAGAGAACATTAGAGCTAAAGTGGGGTGAGAACTTGTTTGAATGTGCTCTTGAGGAAAGAGGAGAGGAAGGAGCAAAGGGCCCAGCACCTGAAACTCTGGGGATCACTCAACTCTACAGGAAAACAGCAAATAACTTTCTTAAAATTGGTTAAGTTGGAGTGTCAGATAGGGCAGGCACCCTGTCCTAAAAACATGTGTTAAAGAGAGACATGATAAGACTAGTGATTTTGTTGACATCTTAAGAGGGTATGTAAGTAGAAAATTCGTTTGTAAAAATTGATACTAGATGCTAGCAGTGACTATCACTGGGTGGTGGAAGTAATTGGTAAGAATATGTATGATTTTTATTCTTTTTGTTTCTATTTTCTAATTTTTCCACAATAAGAATATTATTTCCACAATAAAAATGTTAGATAAATAAAAAGTAAATACCGATTTTAAATTTCATATTAAATGTGGGAAAGAAAACCTAATTTTTTTTTCTCAGTTACCGGACATATTACTTTATAGGTAGCTTCTTTTAAGATAGAAGATGTGCTGCTTGATCATCAGCAATCCTTTACGGTGACCAGTCCCTCAACTCTCACTTGGTAGTCATACGGCCCTACTATCTCACATGGGGGCCTGTTCTGCTGAGAAGGGATTGGTTGTGTGAAGGGGTGTGGCAAAAATAACCCTTAGGAATATAGGCCACAGAGCTAATGAAGTGCCCCAAGAAAAGGAAGTCTTACCTATGGGCTATGAATTCTCTCCCCCCATGCCAGAGACCTGAGGGCATGTGACCTAGGAATGTGCATCCCAAGATAATACTACTTTCAGAGAACTCTCCTTATAGGTAAGTAACTCTCCTTTATAGGAGGTATCTTTGTGTGGCAGACTGTTTATGGGAGCAATTTGAATTGAACTTTAAATGAAAAAGGCATATCTCTGTAAGTGGTAATAATTTTAGTCATCTCGCTGTGGCTAGGGGTTGTGGAATTCATTAGCACAGATTAACATATAAAGTGGGTGAGATATCTAATAGCAAACGGAGAGGTTTAGGGGCCTTAATTCATCACTGAATGAACAGCGTGTACAGTATTAGGGACTATGAAATTTTTAATTTACACAAAGTGTCCAAGAATATAGGGAATAAATTTAAACCCAAAACAGATAATGGAGCTATGCCCTGCCTGGCTGGCAAGTTGAATTGTTTTTACACTGAGTGAAGAAAGCTAATTATCCCAAGCACAAGGAGACTGCTAAAAATAATAAGATTATAAGGAATAATTTGCTGATATAATTACAACAAAATTGGGTACACACAATCGTCAGATACATGTATTGCTTGACCTGGGTGAGAAAGTGAAATAAATCCTTCTTCTATAGCCTTCGTAAATTTGTTTTTATCATCTCCAAGTGGTGTTTGCACAGGCAGCACAATTTGCATGTGTAATGTGGCTGTACAAATTGACAACAAGTAAATTATTCAAGGAAATAGGCTGGTCGCGGGTCTGAACTATCTCACAAAGCCTATTCATTTTGAAGAATCACTGAGACGTGAAGCTCATACATCAACCGTTTTCTGACAATCCTCAGACTTATTGTCTCCTAAAATGTCATTATGGCTATTATTTATGAAGCTAATTCATTTATTAATATATATTTAACTCTGACTTGTCATGCACCTTAGCAGACATTCTGTGCACTGCATATTTTTGAATAGATGAAAGACTTTTGCATGCTTTAATGATTACTGTAAGCTGCTATAGATTTATAGAATGCAGCTTTATTATCTACTTGCATTAATACCTTTTTATAACTTTTTTTTTTTTGCTTAAGGCCACCAAATATAAATGGCAAATGACATATTCAAAAGATTGTATGGAATAAGATTTTCCAAGAGTTTGTTGAATTTTAGAACAAAATGGGTTATCTGTCAGTTAAGGCCTAATTCACCTAGAAAGATGGGTATATACCAATTATGTTGAATTTTCCTGCAAAATATAGGCTGCAATTTTTCACAGAAAAAAGGAAAAGATGTATGATTCATTGAGCTCTCTTTCTCTGAGAAGATGGCCCATCCTTTCATGTGCTGAGGTTGGACAACAGTTCTCAGGGAAGCTGAATTTTAGGTGTTCATCTTTACTTGGGACCTGTGCCATTTACATTGTCTCTAATCAATAAATAGGTGTTGCATGAATGAGTAAATAGATGAATGACCTTCAGGTTTTCTGATAATCTGTGAATAAAATCAGTATAAATAAGCAGTGACCTAGAATACTATTTTATACATTTCTCTTTTCTGCTTCAGCATTTCCAACCACTAGAGAATGTTCTGTGACCCCCACTATGATTTAGAATAAACCATACATATATGCAATCAAAAAACACAACATGTTATTTTTATAATGTGCATAAGAATATATCACTACTGGATATGTACTGCTGCTTCTGGTTGTCCCTGTATAAGTCTGCTTACTAGCATCTTCCACCATATGTGACCATGGCTACTGTGTGTGCGCGTGCACGCACATGTTTGCATGCACGCACATGTTCGCGTGTGTGTGTGTGTATGTGTGTGTCTTTATGTATTGGTAAGGCAGGAGTAACTGGAGAACGAAAAGGAGAAACAGTACAGTTGCTTGAGATAGTCTGCTCTGAGAGTGCTTCATTCTAACCGTTTAAGTAGTCACCATTCTTCTAACTCAATATTTCTGCTTTTGTATAGATGTAGACATAGAACTCTTACAGTAATAACCAAGTAGTAGGTCAGCACAGGCAAACGTAATATCACTGAAATCTACCAATGGATTTGAAACTCTGGCAAACCAGATGCTTTGTTTTTAAAGATAAAAATAAGATAAAGAAAAATGCCATCACCTGAGTATTGTATTAAATGTATTAGCTTTAATAATGTCATTAATCACTAACATATTTAAATAAAATATGTTTTAAAAAATACTATGTCAGGGAGACAAAATAGATTAGTGGTTGCCTAGGGTTGGATAGGCAGAGAGGATAGGGAGTGACCGCTAATGGCACGGGGTTTCTTTGGGGGGTGACAAAATTGTTTTAAAATTAGATTGTGGCGATGATTGCACAGTTCTGTGAATAAACTAAAAACCATTGAATTGTGCACTTCAAATGGGTGAACTGTGTAGTATGTGAATTATATCTCAATGAACTGTTTAAAAAGTACTACTTGATATATGCTAAAATTAAATATTTTACTGTAAAGGACCAACATAATGAATTATGAATAGTAGCATAAGGAAATAACTACTTAGGAAACTAGCTTATGAATAAAACTAGATTAAAATGTAAAATAGGTAATCTATCCACAAAAAGGAAGGAGGCCTATTTTTTGAAAATTCAGCCTTCAACAAGAATGGTGTTTATGTCTCATGATCTGACAAGAGAAAACAAATCCCTGCATTTCAAACACTGACATAAGCCACCAAATGTAGTCAGGAAAAATCTTTAGTAAATGTGTAAGGAGATACTATTTTTTGTTTAGAATACTTGTATAAGACCAACAAAGCATCAAGAATCTATTTTTAAAAGTAATTTTCTTATATCAAGCATTCTCTCAAAATGTCCCATTAGATATGGAAAGCAAACCACACACACACACACACACAGAGTGTCTTTCTAACTGCATAACCATGGCAGGGAAGGCTGATGACATTTTTATTAGTAATATTAATCACATGCTTAAAGGGAAAAATGTCTCACTTTTCCAGGAACCATAATATTTACCTATTTACACCTTTTAAAATTTCAGTAACTCCAACTTAGAACCTTTAACCCCCATAACCTTCAAAAAAGAAGTAAAATGAAAATTAATAAATGTTCCCTAGTGTGCTATGAGCCATTAATTGTACAGCCTGAAAAGCTTTAGCCTAATAAGAAACATGCCTTCAGCAGAAATGTGAAAGTCATCTGTGATGCTCATGATTTAATGATAAAAATGTGCAGTCAATTTTCAATGAAGTTAAGACCTATAACCCAGGAATATTTTAACTAACAAATTTTTGCAGATACTGGAGGAACTTTGAAAAGCAAACAACTTGAAGAACTGAAATATTCTCAGCATGAATTAAATGATTCATCTCTAAAGGGTCTTAAGATAGAAGCACTAGAATTTCTAGCAATAACACCTGATCAGAGATGGGTTTGTCCCACATGCCAAGAAAGTATGGGCATTTCATAAATCTAGCAACAAAACAATTTTATTAGTAAATTGTTAAAGAAGTGTTATATTAGGAATAAAGACATGTTAATAACATCAATGACCATAAATATCACATTAGTTTTGAAAATCAGCTCTAGATTTAGCTATAAAAGTCCTAAGCATAATTTATTTGTTCAAATAAATACTCACTTCTCACTGTGAACCAAGCCTGGGGTAGACATTCTGGAACTAAAGTGGGGAGATTCCTGAGGGATATAAAGATGAATAAAACACAGTCCCTGTCCCTAAGGAACTTAAAATCTTGAGAGCAGTGTGATGTGTTTGCAAAAATATTGCCATTATTGTTTGAGTTATTTACAATGACAATGTTTTATTTTTGTAATCAGAACTAAGAGCATTAAGATGGATTTCTTTTAAAGCACTTAAGTGCTGTCGAATGAGGTGCAAAGTTTTATAGGCATTCATTAGAGAGATCCCCGCCAAGAAAAATATTCAAGGAAGCATTAGCGTGTGAGCTAGGCTTGGAAGGATGGCCAGCAATATGATAGACTGAATTGGAGAAGGCATTCCAGGTGGAAGAGATTGAGTAAGCTAAAGCTAGAAATAAAAGTAATGTAATATGTAATGTACTATGCAATATGGCTGCAGATTAGGGTATATGTAGAAGAGAAAATACTAGAACCTTATGTTGAGGATGAATCACCAGAGGTCTACACTGTCACACTTGGGAATTCAGATTTAATTCATGAGGCCATAACTGTAAGGTACTTAGCACACAGTTCTAGGTACATTGTAAGTGCTCAGTATATATGAGCCATCATTATTATTGTCCAAGGTTTCAGAAAGAGCTGAAGCAAGGCTAATGGTTGAATTTAGTGTCTTTTCTATCCCATAGGTAGACTCTGGATGAGTGCTCCCCAATAGGTAGGTCCGTATTGAGGTACAACCTACTTTTAGCTGGCCCCTGATCCATCTCCACATTGCACTCCTCATATCCCTCAGAGGCAGGCAGTAACCAGTAACCATGAAAGTTCCTTCATGCAAAGGCCATGTCCTCTTCCCGATCTTTGTTCCTAGGCTTTAGCACACGTTGGATGTCCCAGAAATGCTTGTTGAACCAACTTCTCTCCTCCATTAGCTGTGAGTACTTCCATATAAATGAATAAGTTGATACTCCAGCCTATGCATCAGAGCATATGGCCTATCAATTTAGTAGTTGAGTTTGTCATCATAGGACATACTAATGATATCTCATTTCTGGACCTGCCAAGTTCCCAAGAGAGGCTCGGGCCTGCAACCCTCCGGATATTGAACCCTATCAGTTCTCCTCCTCCACCCCCCAAATACCACACTTACCCACACAGGAGTATTGTGAGTGAAATAAGACACATCAGATGCCTAGCATTGCACCTGATGCATGCTAACATTCACCAAGTGTTTTTTTAAACAGCAGAATTTCCGACTTATCCACCCATTGGCTCTGATTGATACATCCTTTAGAGTACTGTTTTGGAAGTAAAAGAAATAGGAGAAGCCTCATTCACAATTTTCATCTGCATGTCTCCTTTAGACAGATCCAGCCACTCATGTGGACAGTGACCCACTCTCTTTTTATACGACTGCCTGCAGCGCCTTGTGTCTGAGATCAGTTCCTATAAACCCAGTATTACAGATTTCAGAGCTGCAGCGTAAGTCAAGTTTTCCTGTTCTCATAAGGAACTAACGGAAAGAGGCATAGAGTAGCCAAGGACCAAAAGATAAACACTGTTTTGCAGTGGAAAAGCATAAGAGTTTTCAGTTTTGATCTGAATCTGTTATCACAAAGGCCATGGAGCCTGGTGGATAAGAGTAGGGATAAGTAAACTGCGGCCCATGTGCAAAATCCTGCCCGCCACCTATTTTTATAAAGTTTTATTGGAAGAGAGCCATACCCATCATTTACATGTTGTCTCTGGCTGATTTCACACTACAACAGCACAGTTGAGCAGATGCAACAGAGACTTCATGGCCCACAAAGCCGGAAATATTTACTGTCTGTCCCTTTACAGAAAAACAGTTTGCTGATCCTGGTTCAAAATAATGGCTTTCTCAGTCAAAACTGAGTTTAAATCCTTGTTCCAACTTGGGCAAGTTAACCTCTATACATCTCAGTTTCCTTACCTATAAAATGGGGGTAATGGCAGTATCTACTTCGCAGGGTTATTGTGAGCATTAAATACCCCAGAATACCAAGCACAGTAACTGTAACTTGGTAAGCTTATTAAATGCGAGCAGTGATGATGATGATGATGGTGAACATATAGGTAAAATTACTGTGCAGGGAACACCATACCTTAAAAGGGGTTTGAAAGTGGCTGTTGAAGGACCCCAATCGAGCAGAATACACACACACACACACACACACACACACACACATGCATACACACATACATATATGTATAATGTACACACATACTGATACACACATAATAAATATGAAAAAGATATAATAGATACTAATGCAAGTAGAACACACACATACACATATATATTACATAATACATCTATGAAAAAATGAAAAAGGTCTTAACAAAAATAGAATGCATATATGTAAACACACATACATATATATAAACACACACACAAAAATTCCTGTAGTGAGCAGAACAGAAATTTTGGTCTAGTTCTCCCCCCGCCCCCAAAAAAAAAAAGGTACTTTCTCGGTTTCTGGGGACAAAACCACTCTGATGAAATTACCTGATTGTGCGATCTTTGCACTAGAAATGGAAGAGAGGTCACATGGAGAATTGAGATTAGGCTGAATTTTGCATTACTCGAACAATAGTTTTTCCTTTGCTGTCTATCCCTTTGCAATGTTTAGCTCCCTCCCTTTTTTTCCCACCCAGTGGTGACATTCAGTCACTGCAGCAACTGCAACCAAGTGTTTTGTTTTTTCCCTTCAGGACTCACTGCCTATTTCTTAGTTCTGGGAACACAACTCAGACAAGTCGGTGAAGTTAAATGAAGATGTTGGAATGATTGTGATTCCAAAGAGCCAAACTGCTGAATGAGAATGAAGGTGGCCAATTACCACCTTCTAACATACTGTAATGCTTATTTATTATGACTATCGTTCATTGCCTTTGTCCTTCTTCATAATGTTACTTCCCCAAAGGCAGGGGTATTTGACTTCTTTGTTTATCGATGTATCCAAAAGGCCTAAAACAAAGCCTTGCGCCTTGTAGACACTCAGTAAATATTTGCCGACTTGAATAAATAGCTGCAGGTCTATCAGACTATGCTGCTTTGAAGAACATGCTGAAGTGTGGTCTAAGACAAGGTCATTAACATCCTCATCCCATCTGGCCCCTTGGACTTTATTTGGGCCTTTGTGATTAGAAAGATAAGGTCTGTTGGAACTGTTTCAGGGAGATTCTGGGAAACAAAATAGCTGCCCAGGGGCCTGGGAGGAGAAAAGTGATAAATAATAAAGAAGAAGAAGAAAAAAAAAACATGAGATACAAACAAACTCGAAAAAGAAATGGAATGGGCTTCAGGTAATCCTCCTACACGTAACAGCTATAAATTCTGAACATAATATAAAAAGCAGCTGTCCAAAGATACTGAAGAACAACTGAACAGGCAAATGCAGGAGTGGAGTCTCCATTTGGAAGAAGGGAATGGCAATGGGCAAGTTTCCTATGATTAGTGCTCTTTGCTGTAAAGCAGGACCCAAGTCATGCCAAATAGGAGTGACTAAAACCTGTATAAAAAACCTGTAGTCTTCCTGGCATGAAGCGCCGGGAGTCAGAGTTCAAAGTGCTTACAGTAATTAGAAAATAAAAGAGGAATCTTGGAAAGAGAGAGTTAAAGAGGGCATGGGTAATGTGTTGATGCATATAAACTCTGCCCATGTCATTGCTGGCACCCCAACCATGTGAGCAAGCAGCCCAGCACAGGCTAAAGGAACTAGACCAAAATTTCTGTTCTGCTCACTACAAGGGAGACAGTTCGGAGTCTGAGGTCAATTAAGTTAGCTGCCTGCTTTTAAAAAATCAGTACTCTTCAGAGGAACACAACAGAATCCAGAGGCTCTACAATATATCACTGACAATTTCTTGGATGTCACCGAAAGAAAATGTGAGTCAAAAGGCAATCAATGGAGACTGACGCTGAGATAATTCAGTGGCTTGAATTAACAGACAAGGATTTTAAATCAGCTTTTGTAACTATGAAAGATAACTGAGAGAAATATAAAGTTTAGTTTCTTTTAAAACTATGTAATTATTATTTGTAATTTATTTTGAAATAGTTTATATATCAAGAAAAACTTGAAATTAATATAGCAAACATTTGCATACTTTCCTCCTAATTTAAGGAATAAGCCTTACCAAATACTCTTAAACTCTACCATTTAACCATCTCTGAATATATTTCTCTATATACACTCCCAACAGACCACTATATTGAGTTTTATCATTACCTCAACTTTTTAATATAAGTACACTTATTGTTAAGCATACAGTTTAATTTTGCATGCTTTTTAACTCTAAATAAATTGCATTATACTTAATGCTGTCTCCTGCAACTTATAGTCTTTACTCAATATTGTTTTTTGATATTCGTTGAGGTGCACATAGCTGCTGTTCATTCACTTTCACCACCCTACAATATTTTATGAACATATTTCCATTTACTTTTTCATTCTCTCTTCCAAGAATATTTGGGTTGTTACAGTTTTTTTGTTTTCGCTGTTACCCACAAATGCTGCTATGAACATTCTTGTACAAAAAATCATATTTACGTGTTTAAGAGTTTCTCCAGAACAGTGGTCCTCAAAGTGTGGTCCTACACCAACGGCATCAGTTTGATCTGGGATCTTGTTAGCAGTGCAAATCTTTGGACCCCACCACAGACCTACTGAATTAGAAACTCTGGAGATGGGGCCAGCAATCTTTCCAGGAGATTCTGATACAGAGTCCAATTTGAAAACCACTGCCGGAGAACTGAATCGTAGGAAGGTACCTGCAGCCTGATTGGATAACATCAAATGACTGTCTAACGCAATTTTATCAGCTTACACTCTCACCCATCATTATATGAGTTTATACTGTTTAGCATCCTTACTGATACTTCATAGTCTTGGAATTTTTAATTTTTCGACCTATCCATTTGGTACAAAACGGTACCAACTGTGATTTTATTTTAGTCTTCCTTGAATCTAATGAGATTGAATATCTTTTTATTCACTGTTAGACATTCATACTTCCCTTTCTATGAAATGTCCGTACCTGTCTTTTGCTCATTTTTCTATTGGATTGTTTGTCTTTCTCATATTAAGTAGTACACTCATCCTTGTCAGTCAGATGTTTTGCACAGACCTCTTCCAGTCTTGTGCCTTTTCTTTTCACTTTCAAATGGTCTTTTGATAAGCAGAAGTCTTTCATTTTATGTAGTCAAATTGATCATTTTTCTATGTGGTTGGTGTTTTTTGTATCTTATTTAAGAAATGCTGCCACATGATGATGTCAAAGGGAAAAATGCTTCTCTACTATTAGATAATAAATATGTACTTTTATTTTCTTCTAAAAGTATTAATAATTTGCTTTCACATTTTAGTCTTATATCCACATTGACTTTATTTTGTATGGTGTGAGATAGAAATCCACTTGTTTTCCACATGGATAACCAACTGCCCCAGTTGCATTGAATATATAGATTTTGAAGAAAAGAACTGACATCTTTATAATACTGAGTCTTTCAATTCATGAGAGTAGTAGACCTGTCCGTTGATTTAGTTCTTCTGTAATATATTTCTATAAAGTTTCATAATTTTTGGTAAATTTATTCCTAGATATCTTATACATGTAAGTTGCCTTGTGAATAGTATCTTTGTAAAATAAAACTATAGTGCTCACTTTGGCAGCACATATTCTAAAATTGGAACAATAAAATAAAATTGTTTTTTCAAATGGTTGCTACTGAAGTAGAAAAACACTATTGATTTTTGTATGATGGTCTTCTAGCCAGCAACTTTGTTTAATGGTAAAAACCAGACTATCTTTGTATTTCTGTACTATTATAATTATCCCAAGTTGCTGGAGCAACATCTATAGTACCCTTGGGAAAAGACTTTGGGACCTTAGAACAGTTAGTCAAGTTGTCACCCATATATAAATGCAAAAGAAAGGGTACTCTCAGATCTACAAAGTGTCGGACTCTTTCTTTTTGCATCTTGCTTGAGGCCATACTCCAGAATATTAAGAAAAGACTTAGAATTTAAAAATACTGAATGGAGATGCTACCACAAAGATGAACCTGAGGTAAGCCCTGTCAATACAGAAATAATTAAATAAGAGCTCGAACTAAAAGGCTCTGCTGGCTTAAGTGATTTTAAAAAAATAGTACACAAAATAAATAAATATTTTAGAATAAAATAGGGGTGGCGGGGGTCTTAGAACCTTAAATTTACAAATGAAGGATGGGAAAGGTGAAATTCTGTGTGCAAAATCTTGTCCTTTATGCAAAGAGGTAATGAGCCTATTGTTTTCATCAGATATTTATAATTTTAGAAGCTGCGAAATACTGTTATATTTGACCAGTTGAATTTAAAAATATGTGTTTACGTTCCAAATTGTTTAAAGCATCAAAGGAGGCAATATTGTACATGTGATAAAAGGTATATAGAGAAGGGACAACAAAGAGGTACAAAAAAGGGAAAAATGATGTGATAATAATGAATTTAGTTATAAATTCCTCATAAGAATAAAGATTAGGATAGGAGTAGGCTTGTATTGAATGAAAAACAACTTTAATAACATATTACTTTGAATTTTTTAAACCAAAGCACTACTAACATGATTAGAAATAAAATGATGGTTATTTCATAAACATAAAGTCTGCCAAAGAGCACAGTTTTATTTGGGAAAATGTTTCTGAGGGTTTTTGCTTTGCATGGGAGGACACAGAAAGATATGTTTAAATCGACTACAGAAAAAAAGTTTCTAAATCTCATTTATTTTATTTATCTATCAAATACTTATATAGTGCTTCCATGTGCCCGCTATTATTCTAAGTGTTTTACAAAGAGGAATTCATTCTATTAGTTAGGCTTCTGGCAGGAAACAGATGGCACACTCGAATTGGATAAATTGAAGCGAATAGAATAAAAGGAATATTTACAAAGATGCGAGTGGGATTTAGAAAAAGCAATCGGGGATGGGGCGACACCCTGCTTAACGGCAGCAGGGAGCCTTTACCACCCATAGGACCGCCTGCAGGGGCGAAGGGAGAGAGTCATTGGAAGTACCCAGAGAGACAGCCATGGCAACCTGGCAGGGAGGGAGCAAGGGGAATACACACCCCAACCTGGCTCTCCTGCCTCCGGCTCTCTCTATGGTGCCTCCCATTAGCCAAACAGGACAGAAAGCCAGAAGACAGAGAGCTCATTGTTGCCACTCTTGTGGGCCAAAGTCCCAGGGTGCAGAAGCCTAGAGAAGAAAGGTTGGAGGAGCATCTGGAGGAGCAAAGAGAAGATACTCAGAACACTCATAATAACCCCATTTAGCAGGTTCTATTGGTGCACGCATTTGTACAGCAGGTGACATACAGAGAGGTTAAATAACTTCCCCGAGACTGCACAGCTGGTAAGTGACGGATCTAGGATTTTAACCCAGGCAGTCCGATTCAACTGCACTAGGCCTATATTTTATTATATTATTATATTATAAGTTTATATATCTTATTATAGCCATGCTCTGTTTGTTTGTTGTTGTTTTTTTTTTCTGATTCTGTCTGGTATACTGGGATTTAAATGGATGAAAAAAGACCATTGTAAGAGCCATTTTTTACTTCTTTCTACCACCTGTTTAAGGGCTGGGAGGTATTTTTATGTTATTGTAGACACTTAACTACCAAGACTCCCATTATGATTCATAGATCATTTTGAAAATTGAGCAATTTTCATGATAGGCATACTTCCCAGCAGCTTCTTAGTAGAGTTGGGAAGATTATAGCCAGAAGAAACACAGGAGGTGAAATTTGGTCTCGTTTATAAGTGTTTGGTTGTAAATGTGGATTGTGGTTTCATTAAATTTGTATACATGAAGTCTTTTAATTTTCCAACAGGATTGTGGAAATCTGGCAATTCTTAATAATCAAGGCCTAAATCCTTTCTAGATTTTTTTTTTTTTGGTAAATATTTTCAAATATTAAAATAACCACGAGTTCAAGAAAAAATAAGTGTGTTTCAGCAAACAAACTAAAGCATATTTTTCAAGAGGAAAAGTTTTGCTTTTTGATTTCTATCATTAGTCTGGTGTTCTCTTGCATGATTTCTATCATTAGCCTGGTGTTCTCTTGCATAAACTACCTATTAGAAAATTTAGAATCGGGTGTAAGTACAAGGCTAAAATGACTGCCAAGTCCAGTACTGTTTTTCTGGAGGTTTTTGTATTGTCGAGCATTTTTATTGTTCCCCCCAAACTTTATTCTTCTACACCGACCCTCCTGCCATCTTGTACAGCTGCCCTTTTCACCCTTATTCTATTCTCTGCTTGTCCGCTACGCATCCATGCCCCAGGCAACTACCCATCATGCCACTCTTCCCTGGACTACATCTTTGCCTTTTCACACCTTCGTGCCTTTTTATTTGCTCTTCCCTCTGCTTCGAATGCCGTTCTCTTATGCTTGGTAACTCCTCCTCTTCATCCGGGAGTCCCAGTGCTGCTTTCTGTGAGGCAGCTTTCCTACCTCCCCTAGAAAGAGATTTTCACTCCTTTTTAGGAGCTTCTAGGATTTTGTATACATGCTTCTTCTGCAGACCTTACTATATTGTATTAACATGATTTGTTCGTGTAACTCTTTATCTTACCAAACTGTGACGTCGTGAAGGCCAGGACCAGAAACTGCAAAGCGTTTTCAAAAGTTGTTGAATGAACAACTGTTACCAAACCAATGAACGAGAATTAGTTTTATAATTCTTGGCCACCATATAAGGGCCAGAAACCCCTTCAAAGTCTGGGGTTCTGTGACTGCCACCTGCAGGAAGAAATTCAAGGGATTACATAACTGTATGAAAAATATCCATCCTGCTTTGCATTTTACTATTAGGGTCTATGAGTTAAATGCACATCTGGTATAGTTCCTCAGTAGGTAGACTTAACATTCCCTATGTGAACCAGAATTCCCAAATTATTAAAAGTCTTCTTAGCATTTTGCTTCTTATAACGATGCCTTCAGTAAATTCATTCAGTTTTACGGGTACTACAATTATATTCATGCTCAAAACCTTAAAACTGTCGAAGCATTATTTCTCATTAGCTTCCTCTGAATAAGTATTAAAATCAAAATGTGAGATGAGTCCATATTATCAAATATGAGGATGAGATTTTGGTTTAAAAAATATTCTCCAGGACCCTGAGTGTTAGAACAAGAACAACGTCTTTGTTTTTAACTTGTGTGTAAGAGTTGTTTTTTTTAAAGAATGAGAGAGCCTCTTCCTGGATCTCCCTTTGAGTCTCAAAAGATGCCTCCATCAGTAGGTGTTATTTCAAACTGCCCCAACCTGAACTTCCCAGTTTCTACCCATGTGGTCTACCTGCCCACGCACCCAGTTTTCCCCGGCAACCACTACCCACACAGCTTACTTTAAATTCAATTAATGTTGAACCATTTTCTTTTATCTCCTCTACCACCAACTCCTATCACTCCCTCTACTTCATTTAGGAGTTGGACAGAGCGAGGCCAACTCCATGCATCGTTTAGCTTCTGCATGTGATGCTGGTACTGGAGAAATAACAGCAAAGTAACCGCTTTCACTACTCCCGTTTTCCCCCAAGTGCCCCAAGGTGAATATTAACCTTTCAATGGTGTAATATAATCTTATTCCACTTGCGATTCAATTTGGCAAAGATCTTGTACTGAGGTTGCCTTTTTGTTCTCTTTTTCTGTGGCCAGACGAGTCACCAGCGTTAGTTACCAGCCGAGATGCTGACTATGGAGGTGTGATAAACCATGAAGCAGTACCTAGAAGTAAAACATATGCCTACCTAAACTATGAGAGCAGGGATGTCTGTAAATGTTTACGAAACTGGAATCAGCTCATCTTAAAGAAAAGTGTTTCATCAAGAGACCTCAATATATAATTTCAGGACTTAAAACTCTAATATTTGTCTTGGTTTCCAGGACTGCATTCCTATTTACTGAAAATTTGTGGCTCAAAAAGTGTTACCTAAATCCCTCACTTAAATTGGCTAATGAGTTAGAATAACTTTTTCAGAGTTATTAGTTTGACTTTCTAGTATTTTCTTTCCCCTGATCTGCCATATGGTACACATTTATTTTTAATATCAATGTAAATTAAAATTAATCTTGTTTAGGGAATTTGGAAGAATTTCATAACATCCCTTGAGGTAGTTTGAAATGCCCTAGAGTGAAACAAACTAGGGTTGAGACATACTAATCTAGATTAATGCTAATAGATACCAGGTCAGGATTAATCTTGTGTTTTTGTGCTTTCTATCATAAAATAGAGTGCCACAAGTGGCTGCGTGGCAAATAATAGTTAATCTCAATGTACTGAAAATAATATTTAGCTCTTTAATATTTGTCTGAAGTTAATTCTTGTGATGCAACCATGACTCATTTTCTTCTTATGATTTATAGCTCTGATGTGGATGTTAATAGTAAACGAATTATAGCTC